GCTTCCCGACCTCTTCTGTAGGCTTTCCTAAACCCTGCTCCAATAGGTTTCCTTGAAACCTAAAGCCTGCTAATGTGAGTTTCCTTAAAACTTGCTGACGCTTCCTGTAGGCTTTCATGAAGCCTCATGCATGCTTCCCTGAAACCTCATGTAAGCCTTCCTCAAGACTCCTAAAGTACGCTTTCCTCAAGTGTAGGTTTCCTTCAAACCTCCAAGTGTAGGTTTCCCTCAAGCCTCCTAGTGTAGGTTTCCCTCAAACCTCCAAGTGTAGGTTTCCCTCAAACCTCCTAGTGTAGGTTTCCCTCAAACCTCCTAGTGTAGGTTTCCCTCAAACCTCCAAGTGTAGGTTTCCCTCAAACCTTCTAGTGTAGGTTTCCCTCAAACCTTCTAGTGTAGGTTTCCCTCAAACCTCCAAGTGTAGGTTTCCCTCATACCTCCTAGTGTAGGTTTCATTCAAACCTCCTTGTGTAGGTTTCCCTCAAACCTCCTAGAGTAGGTTTCCTTCAAACCTCCTAGTGTAGGTTTCCTTCAAACCTAATCTAGGTTTCCCTCAAACCTCCTAGTGTAGGTTTCCCTCAAACCTCCTAGTGTAGGTTTCCCTCTAACCTCCTAGTGTAGGTTTCCCTCAAACCTCCTAGTGTAGGTTTCCTTCAAACCTCCTAATGTAGGTTTCCCTCAAACCTCCTAGTGTAGGTTTCCCTCAAACCTCCTAGTGTAGGTTTCCCTCAAACCTCCTAGTGTAGGTTTCCTTCAAACCTCCTAGTGTAAGTTTCCCTCAAACCTCCTAGTGTAGGTTTCCCTCAAACCTCCTAGTGTAGGTTTCCCTCAAACCTCCTAGTGTAGGTTTCCCTCAAACCTGCTAGTGTAGGTTTCCTTCAAACCTCCTAGTGTAGGTTTCCCTCAAACCTGCTAGTGTAGGTTTCCCTCAAACCTCCTAGTGTAGGTTTCCTTCAAACCTGCTAGTGTAGGTTTCCCTCAAACCTGCTAGTGTAGGTTTCCCTCAAACCTGCTAGTGTAGGTTTCCCTCAAACCTCCTAGTGTAGGTTTCCCTCAAACCTCCTAGTGTAGGTTTCCCTCAAACCTCCTAGTGTAAGGTTTCCCTCAAACCTGCTAGTGTAGGTTTCCCTCAAACCTCCTAGTGTAGGTTTCCCTCAAACCTGCTAGTGTAGGTTTCCCTCAAACCTCCTAGTGTAGGTTTCCCTCAAATCTCCTAGTGTAGGTTTCCCTCAAACCTCCTAGTGTAAGGTTTCCCTCAAACCTGCTAGTGTAGGCTTCCTTCAAACCTCCTAGTGTAGGTTTCCCTCAAACCTGCTAGTGTAGGTTTCCTTTAAACCTGCTAGTGTAGGTTTCCTTTAAACCTCCTAGTGTAGGTTTCCCTCAAACCTGCTAGTGTAGGTTTCCTTCAAACCTCCTAGTGTAGGCTTCCTTCAAGCCTCCTCGTCTAGGTGTCACTCAGAGCCTAGAGGGGGGACGGGGATCTGAGGTAACAGTAGTATACAGTTAAGGGAAAGGGAGGGGATCTCCATTTCCTTGAATCAAAATCGAGCCATTGAGTCTCTGTCACCAAGTAGTAAGTAGGTACCTGATATTATCTTGGTAGGAGGGTAGCTCCAGTTCCTAGGATCAAGAGGAAGTTGTTGCCTCTGTCGTCCCTTCAAGGAGCTCTTGATTTGAGGAACTGGAGCATTCCTCTCCTTCCTTGGATCGAACCTCATTGCCTCCCATTCCTCAGGTGCTGTACAGCCCCTAGAGGTTCAGCGCGTCTCAATTAAGATAGTAATAATAATGATAAGAAAATAAAATAATTTTGATAATAATAATAATAATAATAATAATAATAATATTATTATTATTATTATTATTATTATTATTATTATTATTATTATTATTATTATTATTATTATTATTATTATCATTCCCATAATGACCGCACGAACAGTAAACAGATATATAGATTATCATACCGTGAGTGAGGTATTTCTCTCAGCTTACATATACTGAGCCTTGAATCACTATTTACAAGTATTCTTGTCTTGTGGTGAAGAGGGTTGCAAACTCCATGACCTTCGTGTAGTCGACAGGTTTCAAACCTCCTCCATTAACCACCCAGACACAGGATGTATGTATATATACCATCAGGGAGGTATTTCTCTCAGCTTACATATGCTGGGAGTTGAATTCCCTTGTAAAGCACTGAAGAATTATTGTCTGGTGGTTTAATAAGCTCACCTTCCAGTCTTAGTGACCCTAGTGTGGTAGATAGGCTTGAAACCCCACTAACAGTCTGTTCAGTACATGGAAGAAATAACAGTATGAACAATAAAGAAGGAATAATAGTCTATACGATAAACAGAATTATTAACAGTGAATAATAAACGGGAGGAATAACAGTAGGAACAATAAACAGAAGGTATGACAGTAAACAATAAACAGATGGAATAACAGTGAACAATAAACAGAAGGTATAACAGTATGAACAATAAACAGAAGGAATAACACTGATCAGTAAACAAGGAATAACAGTGATCAATAAATAGAAAGAATAACAGCGAACAATAAACAGAAGGTATAACAATGAACAATAAACAGAACGTATAACAGTATGGACAATAAACAGAACGTATAACAGTATGGACAATAAACATAAAGTATAACAGTGATCAATAAATAGAAGGTATAAAAGTATGAACAATAAACAGAAGGAATAACAATGAACAATAAACAGAAGGAATAACAGTGAACAATAAACAGAAGGTATAACAATGAACAATAAACAGAAGGAATAACAATGAACAATAAACAGAAGGTATAACAATGAACAATGAACAGAAGGAATAACAGTATGAACAGTGAACAGACGCAATGATAGTTAACAATAAGCCGACGTAATAATATGAAAAATAAACATAACAATATAAACAACAAACAGACGAAATAACAGTATGAACAGTAAACAGTATAACAGTATGAACAGTAAACAGCATAACAGTATGAACAGTAAACAGCATAACAGTATGAACAGTAAACAGCATAACAGTATGAACAGTAAACAGCATAACAGTATGAACAGTAAACAGCATAGCAGTATGAACAGTAAACAGACAGCGTAAGTGTGGACGATAAACAGACAGCATAACAGTATGAACAGTAAACAGATAGCATAACAGTATGAACAGTAAACAGATAGCATAACAGTATGAACAGTAAACAGATAGCATAACAGTATGAACAGTAAACAGACAGCATAACAATATGAACAGTAAACAGATAGCATAACAGTATGAACAGTAAACAGACAGCATAACAGTATGACCAGTAAACAGATAGCATAACAGTATGAACAGTAAACAGATAGCATAACAGTATGAACAGTAAACAGACAGCATAACAGTATGAACAGTAAACAGATAGCATAACAGTATGAACAGTAAACAGATAGCATAACAGTATGAACAGTAAACAGACAGCATAACAGTATGAACAGTAAACAGATAGCATAACAGTATGAACAGTAAACAGATAGCATAACAGTATGAACAGTAAACAGATAGCATAACAGTATGAACAGTAAACAGATAGCATAACAGTATGAACAGTAAACAGATAGCATAACAGTATGAACAGTAAACAGATAGCATAACAGTATGAACAGTAAACAGATAGCATAACAGTATGAACAGTAAACAGATAGCATAACAATATGAACAGTAAACAGATAGCATAACAGTATGAACAGTAAACAGATAGCATAACAGTATGAACAGTAAACAGATAGCATAACAGTGTGGACGATAAAAATATAATTATGTGAATACATTCGTAATTTTTGTTTTTGCAAGAAAACAGGAACAATAAAAACCCAACAAAAGCTAAACTAAATCGGTTTTGTCAGCTCGTGGAAGCGTCTTCGACTCACAAGCGAAGAACAAGGGATCGATCCCGGCACGAGTGGAAGCGCTGGATATGTTACTTCACACCTGCTGCCCCTGGTTACCCTGGAGTAAGTAGGTACCTGAGTGTTAGGTGACTGGTGGGCGGCATCCTGGGGGAGGGGACCAAAGGACCACCACTGGATATAAGCCACACTGGCTTGTTTTTGTGTGGATTATTCTGGGTCTCAAATAATTCTGGGTTAATATGCGAATAGAGTGTTCTGCCAAGCGTGCGATAATGGAGGTAATGGAACAAGATGATAACTGGGGAAAATTTAAATGGTCAAAAACTAAAGCTGGCATTTCCGCTCTTCCATTCACAGTAAAAATATTTTATAATCTAGAATCTGGTTCGTAAGATATTACTTATGTACCTTCCATGAGGCGTACTTCTCTGCCTATATACATTGACAGTGTGTATATACATTCATTCATATTTCTGTTAGGCAATAAGTCACTGTCTCAAACTTTTTTGGGTTATCCTGTGTAATTTACACTATGTATGATAACTGCACTTATGTGTACCTGTGCCTAAATATACTTATTTAAGGCTATTTGAAGACTAGAATGGCAGGGAATGACGACCTTAATGACCCCCGGCAGTCAGTGGGCTGGACTTAAGCCCCTCTGTGACTCACATTAACTTCTGTTGACGTTTATTTTCACTGACTACCGTGAATTTTGATGATGTGGAGGAGTCACGTGACCCTCTGAGGTGGGAGAGTGGGAGGGAGGGTGGGAGAGGGATGGATACGTGTCCCTGAGGGAGGGAGACATGTGGAGGACTCAAAGAAAGGGTGGGAGGGAGAAAGGGATTTAAGGAAGAAGGAAGGGATGGATCGGAATAGGGAGAATTGGTGGTAGGGATTTGGATGGAGGGAGGGAGAGGAGAGAGGGATGGGAGGATGGAGATAGGAGGGAGGGACGGAAGGAGGGAGATAGATGGGAGGAGGGAAACAGGAGGGAGGGATGGGAGGAGGGATATAGGTGGGAGGGAGATAAGAGGGAGGGATGGAGGGAGGAGAGAAGACTGGAGAGAGGGAAGGTATATAAAGGAGGAGGACGGTTGTCAGCTGATCACTGTGGGTGGAGCATCTGTGGCGTACACGTTGATCAACGCTCTCAGCTACCACACCCAGCACCCGGCCCTCACTTGTATCTTCCCCTCACCTTGTGATTATAACTTACGTAGTACAGAAGGAACCAACACATACAAAGAAGGAAGCCTGCTGCCCTCCTCATAACATTTAAATAACAACAGATAAATCTTTTTCGACTTTGAGCCGAACTCGTCAAGATGGTGAGTACAATTTTGTAATTTTTGAGTGGGATCTGGGCCCTCATTACAGTCACGCTGCGGCATATGTGTTTATAATCGTATATTGCAACTTGTGTCCGGTATATATTAAGTGAAACCTTAGAAAATTTTATATACAGAACTCGTACGAAATAACGTTGAATACTATAGAAAACAGGAAATGTGGTTGTGTAACCCCATAGACTTGCCCCGAGTGCCTTTGATGTCACCGAGGGGGCTCTTGTTCTTAGGAATTGGAGCTACTTTGGGTCGAATCATAGTGTATCTCACTCCCTAGGCGCTGCATGACTCCTACAGGTTTAGCGCTCCCCTGTGAAAATGATAATTCCCTAGCTGACCACACCCTAAATTAATGAGTTTTTATGATAACTACGTATAAAGCAACGCAGACAAGCAGTGTGATTTATTACCAGCGAGGTTGTCTACTGGGATGCTGCCCAGCATCCTAACACCCAGGTTCCTAGTTATTACTAGGGGAATGTGGGGAGCTGGCTAAGGTACCGGATACCCAGATACATATTTACTAGGTGAACATGGGCACCTGGTGTAAGGAGACTAATATCTAGGCACCTGTTTGCTGTTAGGGGAACATTGGCAATTGGTGTAAGGAGACTAAGTCAGGTACCTATTTACTACTAGGTGAACATGGTAGCAGATGAGAGACTAAACATCCGGTACCTATTTACTGCTAGGTGAATATGGTGTGCAGGTGTAAGGAGACCAACACCCAGGTATCTATTAACTGCTAGGTGAAGTTGGGAAGCAGGTGGAAAGAGATTAATACCCAGGAATCTATGAACTAATAAGTGATCATGAGCACCAGGTGTAAGGAAACTTAACACCCAGGTACCTATTTACTACTAGGCGAACATGGATAGCAGGTATAAGGAGATAAATGCCTAAGTTCCTATTAACTGTTAGGTGACGTGAGCAGTAGGTATAATGATTAACACCTAGGTACCTAGTTACTGCTAGATGAACATAGGGAGCTGTTTAAAGGAGACTATTAACCAGGTATCTATTTACTGCTAGGTGAACACGGACAGCAGGTGTAAGGAGACTTGCCCATACGTCTCGTATGGGCAACAAATATACCCGTGAAGAGCTCTTGATCCAGAGTTGGAGTCACTCGAATCATCCTTCGGTCAGACCTGATTGCCTCCCATTTCCCAAGCTCTATATAACCGTACAAGTCTGGCGCTTCCCCATGACTATAATAAAAATAATGGTGTTAGTAGTCTCTGCTCTCAGCTGATGACTCCCACGAGATGCGGCGCCTTTCGGCTTACCAGAATACACACACAGTAATTATTTAAAGTCTTGTCTGTGTGTGTGTGTGTTTTTTTTTTATACCGTCCTGTATTTGCCTATGTTACGGCGAACCATATTAACATCTATGTGTTATACAGTGTTTTATGATAATTACTGATATATAAATGTGTGCAAATTTTGATTCCTTCAGAAAATTAAAAGAGTACAGGTCACCACGAGAGTTGTAATGACGCTTAGTTTAGCAGCTGTGGAAGTTTTTAAGATGGGTTGGTGCCTTGATGCTGGTGAAGGTGGGTGGGTGCCTTGATGCTGGTGAAATTGGGTGGATACCTTGATGCTGGTGAAATTGGGTGGGTACCTTGATGCTGGTAAAGGTGGGTGGATGCCTTGATGTTGAAGGTGGGTGGGTGCCTTGATGCTGGGGAAAGTGGGTTGTTGCATTGATGCTGGTGAAGGTGGGTGGGTGCCTTGATGTGAAGGTGGGTGAGTGCCTTGATGCTGGGGAAAGTGGGTGGGTGCCTTGATGCTGGTGAAGTTGGGTAGGTGCCTTGATGCTGGTGAAGGGGTGGGTGCCTTGATGTGAAGTTGGGTGGGTGCCTTGATGCTGGTGAAGTTGGGTGCGTACCTTGATGCTGGTGATGGGAAGGGAGGAATTGATGCTGGTGAAGGGAGGGAGGAATTGATGCTGGTGAAGAGAGGGAGGAATTGATGCTGGTGAAGAGAGGGAGGAATTGATGCTGGTGAATGGAGGGAGAAGTTGATGCTGATGAAGGATTCTTGCTCAGAAGTGTTGGATCTATACCCCTGCTCCTCGGATCTAACCTGATTACCTCCCATTTCCCAGGAGCAGTATGATCCCTACGGGCTTACCTTGGTTTTAATTCTAGTAAGTGCACTTTATTGTATGATGCTTGAGGAAGATTAGCATCTTATAAACACGTACTGAAGCTCTTCCCGATTTTCCACGGATCCCACATTTAAATATATACAATGAAGAAAGACAAAAGAAGGCACAGAGTTAGTGTATTAAAGTCAAAACTTGAGGTTAGAGGATATGACGAGGCTAGTGTTGTGGTGGAGGTGGGTTGCCGTACACGACCACTTTATAAGTTGCAATATGTTAATGTATTTACATCATGGGCAAACCGCAAAATCCGTAGGAGTCATATAGCGTTTAGGCAGTGGTTGTTAATCAGGTTTGATTGAAGAGAAAGAAAAATAGCTTCAATTCCTTGAATCAAGAGTCTTTCATTATCAAAGGCACCTTGAAGAGATGAGGAATGCAATGTGTTGATATAGACTGCCACAGACAAAGTTGGGTAGGTGAATCTGGAGTTATTACACCACTGTTATAATCGTTCTGAGGAATTATTACATGCTTAGTAATAACAAGGGAATGTTGAGGAGGGTGTCCACGTTGAGTCAGACAGCACAAAGGGGGGGGGATGCTTCCAGATAAGTAGTTGTGTCTTCACTTGTTGCAATTTTCGTGGAAAAGTAATGTTGGCACACGAGGCGACCGTGACACCCACTGGACTACGAGGATGGTGAGGACACCCTAAAAGTTTTGAAATTAACATGACTAGATATGTAGCATTGCACTAATAGTATCTTTTGCCTAACACGTGAATAGTTCCAGCAGGTCTGGAGTTTTCACATACTGGCAAATTACCCAGACGCAAACTTTCAGCAGATCTGGTTTCTTACGCATTGGCAAATTCCCGGGATATAACTTCTAGCAGGTCTGAAGAATAAGGGTAACAGAATTAGTAGACTATTTAGTGCACCTCGAAGAGAAAGATCTTTCATATTACAGAACTGGTGGGACATGAACCCATGGCAGGTGAGGATTAAAACTCACAGACAGTGTGATTTGTTTGCAATGGTGTAATTACGATTTCGCAAGTCAGGTCTTTGTAATTTGACTCTAGGCAGATATTTGAATCTGAAACATAGATCGACTCTTCATGCCGGGGAAAGATTGAGATAGATGCGTATTCCTATACTTCCGCCACTGTTCATCTAGTGAAGAGATCTGGGAGTCTTTAGTAAAGCAATGAGAACATTGTCAAGTATTTCATTATGGGCTTTGTAGCTACGGAAGTTTCACAAGTTTCCTTCCAGGAAAAAAAAAAGTTTGAACAAAGACATTTGTTGGAGGGGAGGAGGAGGGGTACTAGAAATTTAATGGGGCATTGAGATATTAGGGGGGGCTAGAAATATTTGGGGAGCTAGAGATACTTGGGAGCAGGAGAGATATTTTGGATAGCTGGTGTGACAGGTTGATGAGGGAGTGAAGAAGGTCGGAGTCTCGGACGAAAAACTCGAAAATTGTACGAGTATGGTACATGTATTATGATTTGTTTTCAGGTCGACGGGGAATAGTTACGTAAAACAGCTGGTAAATGGTTGTTGTGGTAAATCAGATCCACATAAAACAAAGCCTTTTGTTTAACGACGTGGGTCTTTGTCGAGCGGGTGTAACGTTGTTAAATAAAAGGCTTACTTTCTTTATTTCACTATAATTCTTCTGGCGGAGATGTCATAGCTTGGCCATACCTCGTGCGTTCATCGCCTTGACACAGCTCGTCATCTTCCTCTGATAGGTAGTGGTACTGATGGTATCACCATGTATGTTCCTCGCTACAGTGGGGCACTGATGCTATCACCATGTATGTTCCTCACTAGTGAGGCGCTGATGGTATCACCATGTATGTTCCTCACTAGAGTGAGGCGCTGATGGTATCACCATGTATGTTCCTCACTAGTGAGGCGCTGATGGTATCACCATGTATGTTCCTCACTAGAGTGAGGCGCTGATGGTATCACCATGTATGTTCCTCACTAGAGTGAGGCGCTGATGGTATCACCATGTATGTTCCTCACTAGAGTGAGGCACTGATGGTATCACCATGTATGTTCCTCACTACAGTGGGGCACTGATGGTATCACCATGTATGTTCCTCACTACAGTGGGGCACTGATGGTATCACCATGTATGTTCCTCACTACAGTGGGGCACTGATGGTATCACCATGTATGTTCCTCACTACAGTGGGGCACTGATGGTATCACCATGTATGTTCCTCACTAGAGTGAGGCACTGATGGGAACACCATGTATGTTCCTCACTACAGTGGGGCACTGATGGGAACACCATATATGTTCCTCACTACAGTGAGGCGCTGATGGTATCACCATGTATGTTCTTCACTAGAGTGAGGCACTGATGGTATCACCAAGTATGTTCCTCACTACAGTGGGGCACTGATGGGAGTACCATGTATGTTCCTCACTACAGTGAGGCGCTGATGGTATCACCATGTATGTTCCTCACTAGAGTGAGGCACTGATGGTATCACCAAGTATGTTCCTCACTAGAGTGAGGCACTGATGGTATCACCATGTATGTTCCTCACTAGAGTGAGGCACTGATGGTATCACCAAGTATGTTCCTCACTAGAGTGAGGCACTGATGGTATCACCATGTATGTTCCTCGCTACAGTGGGGCACTGATGCTATCACCATGTATGTTCCTCACTAGTGAGGCGCTGATGGTATCACCATGTATGTTCCTCACTAGAGTGAGGCGCTGATGGTATCACCATGTATGTTCCTCACTAGAGTGAGGCGCTGATGGTATCACCATGTATGTTCCTCACTAGAGTGAGGCACTGATGGTATCACCATGTATGTTCCTCACTACAGT